AGTGGGAGAAAACAAATTTATCCATCATTTTAGGATAATAGTAGGTTGTCTCTCTTAGCTACAGGTGGGCACTACAGTATTGGAGACTAAGATTTGAAGTCTTACATCTGAGCAGCATTTTCTGGTTAAGAACAAAATCATCAATGAGAATAATTGTTTGAATAAATTTATATAGACTTAAGCCTAATGTCTGGGACATGTAATCCCTTGAACTCTTAAAAAAGTATACTGATGACTTTACTCATTGGTTATACTTTCCTTTTGGGTGTTTAAGACCATACAGTTGACCCAAATAAATCAATTTATTTTTACCCTTAAGTTTGTTTGAGGATCTGTTCCTCAGGGGTCACCTGGGCATGGGAGGAGCTCCTGGCTCCTTTCTTGTACCAGTTCCATCTGTGTGAAGATAAGTCAAAGGTCCTGTTTGAGCATGTCTGGCTTCACTTGGAAGCATGGATGAAACGTTTCCTCTAAAAATGCCAGCATTTTAAAGGGTTCCTATAGGTTAGTCAGTGTTCTCCCTAGGAAACCAATAAAGCTCTAAACATCCTCTATATATCCAATAGTTTAATAAGTAAAGCATCCCTGGATAGTTCTTTGTATGAGAATTGTTTTGCTCCATGTCGTGGGAGCATGACATGCCCATCATAACTGAATGGATCAATGATAAGCCATCTCTATTTTAAGCAAAAAAAAAAATCTGTCTTCTCAAATGGCAGTCTGGAGAACAACTATCTAGGAAAGTTGCTCTGCTTGTATAAGGGTTATATAACATAGCTATCTGTGGGTATTAAATTTAAAGACAAGTAGTGGATGCAGACGTTATTTTGGTAACAATGGCAATAATAGAGAAGATTGAATCAGGAGTGTTATTAAATGACTAGAATTGGAAGGAATTTCCAATGAATGGAAGGATAATTGGATGCTATTGAATGACAAATAATGTTATTGAATGTGAATGAATTATTCACCTTGTTGTGTATCCTACATACACAAGGTGAATAATGTTCCAACTGGCTGCACAACAGTGGAAAGAGCACCTTATGCTATATTTTGAAAAGATTCCAAGATAACAGAGGATCATATTTTACAAACTGGACTTATGTAATAGATGATGAAACTGTGAATGGAAGTTCCCAGAAAAACCATGTATGTGTCTTCAAACTGAACATTCTTCTCCAAGACTGATTAACTGATCAGAGCTCCAGAGATTGTGGAGAGTCTAGAATGCTGCAGATACAGAGCTTAATTACTTACCACTTATCTCAGGCTACTTTTACCCTCTAAATAGCCATTTTCTTGTCCATCTCTGTTTCTGAACTAACATCCTGTAATTAACAAGAAAGAAAAACTTCTTGTTAGGTATTTACTAGCAGACCAGCAGATCCCACCAACCAAAAAGTTAAGCCATCATCAGATAGCATTTGAGAACTATAGTAGAAACCCCCTGCTTTGCTATGACCCACATACTGAACGTATCCACCAATGTATTTGAAAAGTATCTTGAATTATGACTTTTCTTTGTTCTGTTATTATAAAAACTCCATAGAAGGAATTTGAAGTAACCTGGGCCATGGTCCCTCATATTTGGCTCTAGAATAAACTCTCTTCCCCTTTTGAGGTGAGAGTTATATTTTTGTGTCGACAAAACACAAGCATGTTAGCATTTAGACTATCTCATTATCAGATAATTTCACAATTTGTACATTGGAAATACAAATTCTATTATTGAAAAAGATAAAAGAAATCCTAACTCACATTTTTGCTTTAGCTCTAGCTTTTTCAAAGTCTTCTCAGTTAGCTACTGCTAACTTTTAGACTGGTTTAAATTTTTAGTATTAAACTTGAGTTTTGCTTCCCTAATGTGCAGTTCATACTCTGTTATACAAATTTAGACTCTCCTGCTTTTCCACCTCTATAAGCTTGTATCAAAGTTAAAGGTGGTATCAAATCCAGCAAACATAAATACCAGAGACAGAGATAAGATAAGGCATGGAATAACACTTCTAAAGAGATGGGGTCTAGATATAGGTGTTAAATAATAAATTAGTAAACTATATAGGAGAAAAGAATGTCTACTCAAGAGTGTCAAAAAGATACACAGAGAAAAAACTGCCTCTTCAACAAATGGTCATGAGAAAACTGGATATTCACGTCACAGAATTAAAATATATCTATATCTCTCATCCGGTACACAAATCAATCCAAAATGGATTAAAGACCTTAATGTAACACTTGAAACCCTGAAACTGCTAGAGGAAAGGAGAGGCCAAACATTTCAAGATATAGGCACAGGCAAGAACTTTCTGAAAAGGACTCCAGTAGCACAGGAAATAACCCCAAGAAATGAATTAATAATTAATTAATGTCTTCCTTCTCAAAGGAAGAAATACAAATAACCAATGAATATTTGAAAAAGTAGACTGGGAATATGGGTTAGTTAGTAAAGTAGTTGTCATGCAAGCATGAAGACCAGAGTTTGAGCCCCCAGAGCCCATGTTCAAAAAAGGGAGGAAGAATGCTGTAGTGTATGCCTGTAATCCCGGTGATGGGGAGGCAGAGACAGAAGGGTGTTTGGGCCTTGCTAGTCAGTCTAGAAAAATTGATGAGCTCAAGATTAAGCAAGAGACCATGTCTCAAAAAATCAGCTGCCAGGCATGGTGGTGCATGTCTTTAATCTCAGCACTCATGAGATAGCAGTCAGATCTCTGTGACATTGAGGCCAGCCTGGTCTATACAGTGAGTTCCAGGCTAGCTGTCACAAAGAACAAGAACAAAAGGAGGAAAGGGATGACTGAGGAAGACACTCAGTGTTGACCTCTGACCTACACACCACACACACACACACACACACACACACACACACACAAAAAAAAAACAAGTGTTTAACATCATCAGCCATCAGGAAAACAAAAATTAAAACTAAGTTGAGATACCATTTCACCTAAATCAGAATGGTTACCATCAAAAAAGAAACAACATCTGAGGGCACATTCCTGTAATCCTAGGAGAATCAGGTCCATTGTCAGCCATAGATACGTAGCAACTTTGAGGTCAGAGTAGAATATGTAAGGCTCTTTTCAAATAAAGAAAAAGAAAGAAGGAAGAAAGGAGAGAGGAGGGAAGGAGAGCGGAGGGGAGGGGAGGAGGGGAGG